TGGGCAAAACCTGAGGGGCCAGACCCATCACCACAAGTCACTGTCACTGGCGTGTCACCCCAGTCTGCAACTCACGTGCCCAGGACATCTCGGAAATCATAGATCCGCTGAATATCCTCGATCCTCTTCTTCCAGCTGGGCCCATCCTGCCCCAGCGGCATGGTGCCCTGTAGGGCCACCCACTCCCACCTGTGACACGAGTGGGGACAGGCTGTCAGCGTGCTGGGATGGCATGGGGACACGGGCATGACAGGGTGCTACGGGGCGGTGGTTGTCATCCCGGGGTGATGGGAACAAGCTGTGCGACGCAGGAGTTTTGGCGTAGATTGTCCCAGTGGGGGAACGCGCTGGGACCCTCCCGATGCCCGCCCATGGGCGGGTGCGGGGCGGGCAGGCAGCGGGAGGGCTCCAGACACACGCGTAGGTGCCCAGGGGGTCCCCCCCGCCATTCCCCGCGCCCGCCAGCCGGCACAGCGGCGGCGGGCGGGACACGCGTGGGAGCAGAGCTGCGTGGCGCGGGTGATGCGCAGCTCCGCCGCCGCTACTCAGTGTCCCGCGTGGGCACGACCTCCTCCGCGCGTGGGCACGCCGCCCCCGCCCCGGCCCGCCCTTACCGACGGCCCCGGCCCCGGGCCCCGCGGCGGAGCAGCGGCGACTCCTCCCGGCGCGGCGCCGCCGGACAGCGCTGACGTCACGGTGAGGGCGGGCAGACGCGGCCGCTGCCAATGGGAGGGGGCGGCTCGGCCGCGGTAGGGGAGGGGGGGGACACGCGTGACCGCGGGCGCGCGTGGACACGCGGGAAAAGCGCGGGGAGGGCGGCGGGCGCGGCATCACCCCCTGGCTCCCCCCGTGGGGATGCGAGAGCATCCCTTGGGGAGACACGAGGGAGTGCAGGACAGACCCGGCCCCGCCACTCCTCGCCACCCTCCCCAGACCGAGCCCACCCCCCACAGCCGGACAGTGCTGTTCCCAATGTCACCACACCGTCACCTGCACACGGCTGCCTTTATTGCCGGTGCTCGCGGCAGTAGAAACCACCGGAACATGGAGAGCTCGGCCACCCACACACCCGGCCCCTCACCCCTCCAGCCGCTTCCCGTCCCCACTCCCCCCAGTCCACCCATGGGGCTGGGATCTGCCCCTGCCCCGCATCACAGAGAGGGACAGGGGACCGTGGGAATCGCACCATCACATCTGGCCCCTGCAGTCACCTGGCTGATGTCACCGGAATAACAGGGGAGTGCAGGGGGGACATGGGAGTGGAAGGGAGGGACCTCCACAAGTCCACAGAGTGCCCAGCTTGGGTCAGTGACAGCCCTACGCAGGGGGAGACAGCAGCTGGGCTCCCTCATCCGAGCAGGGAGGCTGAGCACACTCAGGGCGTGGGGGAGGCTGTGCCAGTTCTGTCCCGTGGCGGCAGGGCTCAGGCAGGGCAGCCCCCTGCGGGTGAGGCCCACACAGAGTGGGTGGGTCCTTGGTCCCTGCTACCCATCCAGCAGCTTGAGGATGCTCTCCCTCTCCTTCAGGGTCTTCCAGGCCTGGTCCTTCTCCTTTTTGGTGGGCGTGCGCTTCTTCTGCCGGGCAGCCATGATCTTGCGGAATGCATCCATCACCTCGTTGTCAGCCATGCGGACACGCTGCCGCAGCTCCTGCCGGTGCAGCTCCTCCTTGGCCAGCCTGCAGGGCACAGGGGGTGTCAGGCCCTGCCAGGCAGCCAGCCTCCTCCCTGCACCCACCCCAGCCTGCTTGCTCTCACCTCAGCAGCTCGTGCTTCTTGGTGCGGTTGTGTGCGCTGAGCGCCTTCAGCTCTGCCTGCCTCTTGCGTAGCTCAGCCAGCACCTCGTCCTCTGAGTCGTCAGCTGGGCGGTCCTCTGACTCCAGCAGGCCCTGGGCCACCAGCTCCTCCTTGATCCGCCCCTCCAGTGACTTGGTGTGGGGGACACTGCCGGGGTGAGAGTGCTGCTGCCCACCACACGCCCTCTGCTCCCTGTGCCTCGCAGTGGCAGGGAGCCAGCAGCGTGCTCGGTGCACCCAGGGGCAGTGCTGAGCTCAGGGCCTGCCCCAGCTGCTCACCTGAAGGGCTTGTTCTGGCTGCGGGGAGATGTGCCCGCACCGTCAGCTCCCGAGTCCTTGCCGGTGATCTCAGGGATGGGGGAGTCCTCAACAGGAGAGATGATGTTCTCCTAGCAGAGGGAGCACCAGGGAAGGGTTACAGCGCTGGGTTTTGTCAGCAATGCCCTACAGTGCCAGGCCACCAGGGCACAGCACCAGCGGATCCCCTCACCTCCACAAGGGCCTGCAGGAGACGCTGTGTCAGGGGACCAAAGGGACACCCATCCTCTGGCTGCTCGTGCTGGGCTTCTGACTTCTTCAGGAGGGCATCGACATCTAGGAGCAAGAAGGAGAGAGGAAAAAGTGACCCCAAAGACACAGAGATGAGAGAGGGCCAGGGCAGCCTCAGCCTTTGTTAGGCCTGGCTCCATTGGGCACAAGCACTCCCAGCCCCTCTGCACAAAGGCAGGGGTGGGATTGGGGCACCTTTAGTGTCCAGCTCAGTCAGTGGCCCCAGAACACCTTTCTTCTTGTCAGCAGCAGCTGCAGCCCGGGCTCCATCCTTCTGCTCCTCCAGCAGGTCCTCTTGTGCCCAGCGTTGGGAGTAATGCTTCCCCAGAGGTGGAATCTGCAAAGGCAAGGCTCAGCACAGATCCTGCAGCCTCTGCCTTGCCTCCCAACTCACCAGAGCCACGGCAGCATCCCAGGCAGGAACAGTCACTGTGAGGTGCCACAGGGGATGGGGAGAGAGAGCAGAGAAAGCGGTTTAGAAGCTTTCACCTTGTAATGCTCAGCCTCGTCCTCCGGCGGCTTGAGCAGCTCCTCCAGGACTCTGACCTCCTCGTTGGTGAGGTCGGCACAGTACGGCTCCACCGATGCCCAGAACCTGCAAGAATGGATGAACTGTGAGAGGGAGCTGCAGGGGAGCACGTGAAGGTGACACATGTCCCTTTCCCCATGTGGCCCTTCTCCTCTCGGGCTAGAGGCAGCCCTTGTGCCATGTGCTCCAAGGAAGGAGAAAAATGATCCCAACGCCTCCCAACACCCACCCACCTGTTTGGAGCATCATTTTTGGGGATGCGGGGCACATCAATGGGATCATCCTGGAACTCATATTCCTGGATCTTGGGCTGCAGGTTCTTAGACTTGGGCCGGCCAGGCCCAGGCCCAGTCCCGTGGCCCCCTTTGCCCTCCAGCTTCTGCTTCTTGGGCTTCCCATGTTTTACAGATGTGCCCACATCGTGATCCTTGCTCAGCTTCAGGAACCGCCGGTCGCCCTTCTTATCCTGCCAGTCCGTCAGGATCTGGAAGAGAGTGGTGGTGTCCCATCAGGCCCCGTGCCCAGCGCTGGGCAGGGGCACACCAGAGGCAGCCCCTTGGAACCGGAGAGTCCGTCCCTGACCCAGCGCGGGCGGCCCCAGCACCTGTGTCTCAGCCTCCAGGACGCGAAGGCGGCGGCTGGCCGAGGACAGCAGCGTCTCCAGCTCCAGCTGCAGCGTGTCCAGCTCCTCGATGCCGATGCCATCGTCCTCCGAGCGGGCCAGCACGGCCGTGTAGCGGGGACACACTTTCACGTGGTCCACCGACTTGAAGTCATGGAACTGCAGCGGGCAGTCCTTCAGCTCGCTCATGGTGGCCGGGCACCGAGTGGGCTCTGGGGGACCGACGGGAACACGGAGGAGCCGGGGCGGGGGAAGCCGGCAGGGAATGGAGTGAGGGGCTACGGAGGGCCGGGGGGCATCGGGGCTCTGTGGAACCGGGGCAGGGAATCACCGGGGCGCTGAAAGGAACGTGGGGAGAATCACCAGGGCGCTGAGGGAACAAGGCGGGGGGGGATCACCGAGGCACCGAGGAACCCGGCGAGGGGAATCACCGCGGGGAACCGGAGGGAGATCACCGGGGGCCGG